CAAAGATATAATTACAAACCTGTTTGTGTGCATGTGTGTGTGTTATGTATATACAGACGCTCCTCTACTTACGAACTTTCAACTTACGCACTTTCAGACGTAAGAACAAAGAGAACTGTTAGTCCAAATTGTGTTCGTTGGGCTCCAGTTTCCTTTCCGCGACATCGTTTTTTTTTTCTGCGCACCAATTCCGCCTAGTGTGACTTCTGGCCGCTACTCCCGCCGCGCAGCAGCGTAGCGTGCGTACTCCCAGCATCCTAGCTATTTGTACTTGCGTATACCCTTAAAATGATGTTGAATAACGGCCGTTCGGAACATATCTCGTTCGTAAGTAGTTCGTTAGTTCGTATTGCGTTGTACAAATGTCCTCATTTGTGATAAAATGTGATAAAAACCTGTTATTTTTTTAGTCCTCAAATCTGTCAATGCAATCAAAAAACTAAAAATACCAAAAGTCTCGTATCTTGTTTGGGCTGGGTAGGGGTTAAGGTCGTCATGTTGTGATTAGAATTTTCCCCATAGAAATGAATGGAGAGTCCTCACAAAGATATAATTACAAGTCTGTGTGTGTGCATGTGTGTGTGTGTGTGTGTGTGTGTGTGTGTGTGCGTGTGTGTATGTGTGTGTGTGCGCACGAGGTCATCTCCCATCTCATTACTTGGTTCAGTTTCTGGCAGAGGTCAGATATACACACACCCAGTGACCAGGTTATTAACTATCCAGAACCGCTTCAAGGACGAGTTGTCCGTCCGGAGAAGCCTTTCCACACGCCGCTGTTGTCCCGAGCTGTCATTCTTGTGGCCTTCCCGATATCTCTAACGAGTCTGGCCATCTTCCTCTGACCTCTCTCATTAGCGAGGTGTTTTCGGGAACAGAACCATCGCTGACTGGATGATTGACTTACCGTTAATGTATCATTGAGGGGGGGATGGGATTTATTTCAAGAGAAAACTGTAAAATAGTTTTGGCCAGTCAGAGGGCCGAGGGGAAGAGATGTGTCCCCCCCCCCCCCCCCATGTCTATCATGTCCTCTTGGGTTCTCCTTGAAGGACTGGTGACTTCTGGTCCAGCCAGAGCTCAGCTGCTTTGCAGGCGCTGACAGGCCGGGAGCCGCCGATTCGAGTGTCCGAGGCGGACCGGGAGAGAGACCCCGCGGACGTCTGAGCCCTGGGAGGCGCCAAATGAGGCCTCACAGCTACAGGCCATGCCAAAGGTCCTCGCTCCAGTAGCCGTCTCCTGAAATAGCCGGCACAGAGGCGGAATATTTTTAGACTTGGCGCTTGGAGTGGAGGAATGATTGATTTTTTTTTGTTTTGTTTTTTTTCTTCTCTGTTGCCCACAGTTATGCATCCTTTGGAAAATGCCCGACATTAGCTGTATCGCTTCAGCGTTTTCCTGATCATATGTGACAGACGCTCCTCACTTTTTGGCCGGGGTTCAGGGTTCGCAGACTGTGAGTGATTTGCGTCCCGCCGGCATGACGGTCTGTTTACCCACCTGTTCGTTTCCTCCGAAATCTCCAGTGAACCGTTTATTCTCCAATTCTCATGATCAGCAAAGGCTGTTCTCAATCCTAATATTCTCTGTATATTTGATGAAAGAAATCTACGTATTATAAACAATGGTTTCAAATTTATTTCAGGCTTCCCCTAAAAGCTGTCGGTAATCTTAAGTTCCTCGTTATGATTGCTTATTAAAAGTTCCCTTTAATATTCTCGTTAACACACGTGATTGGTCCAAATCCCACCCCGTGTGAAGCGGAGAAGTGGCGCGCTCCGACCCTGAGGCTCCGCCTCCAGCTCCTGAGTCTCCCGAGGAAAAGCGATTATTGGCAATAATGTGAGCAGGTCTGCAGTTACTGTCGGAGACGTGAGCAGGCTTTTAGAGTCAGGAGGGAGACCCGGGTAAACCGATTAGAAAACACACAATATACAGACTCGCGTCTGAATCAGTTAAATGTTCCTGGACCCCTCCCCAGCACACATCATCTTTCTGTCGGGTAATTTAGTAAGTTATATGGGCCCTGGGCCACGGGGGCGTCGTAAATATGTTACGTTTGATGAATTACACAATATTATTAAAACCGAGCCTTGGATTTGGGGTGAAGGTGTGGCTGCCAATGCAATAAAAAACAGGAAATATTGGGGGTGGGGTTCATTGTTTTCCTTTTATCAAAATATTTGCGGGGGGGGGGACAACGAACCAGAAGGGGAATCTGCCCATTCCCAGAGGAGGGGGTCACTATGGGACACTAGACCTGGATAGTTTATGGCAGTACACCCCATAAAATATGCCCTAGAGACAAGTCCCCCCCCATCACCCGAAGGTGACGCTCCTGCTATCAGCTAGCTGCGTGCTAACGCAAATTGAAGCATTTCATTGCCTGCAGCCGCCCCTGCTTAGTGTACTGTTGTGATTTTGGTAAATAAACTTTGATTTGATTTCATTTGCTGCGACCTGGCCCCGTTCCATCAGGTAGCTGAGTGCTGCATGATTACAGGTAGCATTTAAACTGCGTGTATTTTGCTGTCAATAAGTAGATTTACCTCAACCTCCCCCACCGGCAGTAACTTTGATTGTAATGCTACTGGCAGCCCCTAGGACCCGCAAACTGAGCTGCGTTCTGAATGCCATCTCCCGCCTCTTGCTGGGATCTCGCCTCTGTTTCGCGCCGTGACTTCCTGCTAAGTGGCCCTCCAGCTTACCGCGGTGACGTGACTTAAGCTCGGCCCCTCCGTGCCACGCTAATCCGCCGGTCGTCACAGCTACTGTTTGCGGCCCTGTGCGTAACGAACACGGCGCAGAGTGTTTGGCACCATTTTATATGTCTAGTGGGAGTGAATGTTCCTACTACGGGTGTGATGTGAAGTGAAAGTCAGAAAGTACATGTGAGGGGAGGAGGATGCGTGTTCATCCGTGTCTGGGCTGAGCGCGGTGATGCGGAGGATGAGTTATAAAAGACAAGACTGCATGCCATCTCGACTCTGTACGATTACGTCTGTACGTGATAGAATGTGAGCCTCACACGACGGCCAGCCCTTGTCAGACTTGTCCAATGTGTCTTTGACCTGCTTTGCAGAAAGACATTGATAAGGTGTCCATATGACCTCTGACATCTGCATAAGGACCTGCTGAAGTCATCAGAGGTCAGGAAAGAACCCATGGCTCATTCTGATTGGTGGAACCCTACACTGTCATATTGTAGCTGGACAAACAGGATATTCTGGATGTTTTTATGTGTTTAATAAGCCTACAGGTTTTATATGAGGCATGCCTAAAACAGAAGTTACATATTCCGTTATTGGTACAATTTGACACCACGCCCAGAAATAACAAAACATTTTGGAGTGGCAGAATCTTCCCGAATTGATATTATTAGCGATCTCCTAATCCACTTTTTTGGTATGCCAATCTGATCCATTCAGTATTTATATCTGCCGGTTCTGATCCAATTTTTAAATAAATATTTACAGTAGGTGTAGGTGCATGCTTCGTCCGAGGCGTTGCACACGTTGCAGGTAGCTGATAGGCTACTTTGAGTTTCCAAATTAAACAATTTCTGTATAGCTGACATCTCAGTAGTTGGTAGATTCAGGCCATGTGCCTCAGGTTTACTGCAGCATATGACAGAATCTTACAATCTGCGCAACTGACGTAAATAAGGTGGATGTGGGAAATGTTGAATAGATCGGGCTTTGGATAGGACTGTGGTAGCCGATACCGCTCAATTAAAAAATACCTGGATCGGCCCCAATTACGATCTTTGATATTGGCTCGGGGACATCACTGGAAATTTTGCCGATATTTGTTTGCTGGTTCAACATATATTGTATATATTGTATTTTTGTTGATGAGCAGCTCAGGAAAACTAGGGTTGTAACAGTAAAACATATTTGTCGTGCGCCGATCTGTTACATCGTTTTAGGGACTTGCAATGAAATGCATGAACGCATTTCTTGACACGAGTGAAACCTAAATTCACAAGTTGTTGTTCGACATGATGCTAATCCTGGCTGTGAGTTGCTTATGGCTAGTGCTGGAGATGTCAAAGACCCTCCCACGTTACTCAAATCGGTAGTTTAGTATCATTTTGATTTCTCAAGAACTCACACCAACATCGGAGAGAGTAGCTGATAAGACCAAGACTGACTGTGGCTCTGTTATACCAAACTCAGATATGTCACTGGAAACACATCCAACATGCTGACTCATTTGAGACGACGTCATCCGAATGTATGTATGACCGGAGAAAGGCAGATGCAGCCTTGGGAAGTTAGTCTCCCAGCAGCATCTAAGGTGCTATTTTAATCATTTCAAAACAAATTGTTTCCCTGCTGTACCAAAATTGCACTAAACCATGAACCCAAGCAGTTAGCTTTGCTCATCTTATCCCAGCATCTTGGGAACAGGGGACCCAGATGTGGAGCAAACAGGAAACCTAAACGAGAACCTAAGTCACTTGACGGAAGGTACAAAAGCAGGGGAGTCTGTCCTGGGGAATGAAGGGGGTGGCAGCTGTTTGTGCAGACGCGGGGAGATCGGTACAAGCACAAACACTCAGAAGGCGAGTGGACACACTCACTGAGCTGGGGATCGGGATTAACAAACTCACTGAGCTGGAGGTCGAGATTAACCAATCCAGGCATGAGTAAACTTGAGCAATCAAGTAGAAGCAGGGCAGCGTAACGCTCAGGAACTGGACAAAGGTCTGCGATTGTTCACACGGAGGAAACCGGCTGGACCTGTTAAGTGGGTTAAACCATCAAGGAAAACCAGAAAGGGGAATGATACGCAGCTGAAGTCCATGTTCTGGACTGGGAGAGCTGGTGAGGGGGCGTGGCTGCAGTGCGGGCCCGTGTTTTGACCTCACGCATGTCTAGGTGTCTGTTTACTTCACAGAATCCAAAGTTTGCCCAAACTCTGCACTTCAATTGAGACGGTGCTGGAGATGTTTCTGCACACACTTGCTCATTCCTGCTTTCTGTCCTCATCATTCATAGGCACCCGGGCCGTGTTGCCAAGACCCGACCCGAGCACCAGCCCTTCGGAGCGGAAACGGCCTGGCCAGACCTACCCTGGCCTCCCCGCTGGAGCACAGGTAGGCAAACATCTCTCTTAAGGGGAGTTCCTGCACTGCATAATGTGTGTTTAATGAGCTATGAACACAGGATGAGGAAAAGCGGACCAGTGTACTGACAGATAAAGTACAAAATGAACTCACTGTTTATCATAGCGGTTTTATCTACTCTTTCTCCTTTGGAGGATATCAGCCACCCTCACTGTGAACAGATCTCAGGGGTCTAACTACATATTGCTTTAGATTGAATTGCTCAGAACACTCTTCTTTACCTTGCTGTTTTATACTCCTTTGTGTAAAGAGCATTACATCCCCTGCTAATTCATACTCTGGTCCTCCATGAAAGCGCCTCAATCGTCGTCAGACGTTGAATATACGGTTGCTTGTTTGAGTCCCTTTTTCATTTCGCCTGTATCCAGAACATTCTGTAGATCCTGTACACTTCACCTTAACATTGATTGATCAATGTAAAGATGCTTACGCGTAACAAGCATAATGACTGTTAGGTGTCTGCCTTGGCCACAGACCCTTTAAGATATATTATCGAGAAAAATAGAATTCAGAATAGGCCACTGTCAGACTGCTGTATTCTCACTGTGATTATGGCGAATTATGTATCTGTATTCACCACAAACTTGTTTCCCTTGGTGTGATATGTGTCATGGTATGGCATGATGCAAGGATGATCCACAGTACAGCTTAAGATCAAACGGGAACTTTATTTTAAACAGAACTCAGACATACATAATACAAACTGAACCACTAAGGGTCAAAACAAAGGCAGGTAGGTTAGAAAAGGATAAACTAAGACTAGAACTAGACACATGGAAAGATAGGGGAGAACACGAGTAAAAACATCTACTACAATCACAGCAAGACTGGCAGGTAACCCATACAATGACCCACAAAGAACAGAGCCAATGCAGGCATATTTGTACACAGGTATCCAGGACTAAACAAGAAATAGTCATGGACCATGAAACACTAAACGCTCTAACACTAGGAATGGGATGACCAGCGACACCTGCTGGCCAACCAGGAAAACGACAAACATGACAGGGCAGGGACTGATCCAGACAATATGCTTCTGGGATAGTGGGGCATCAGGGTTGGTCCTCTGCCAAACCCTTGTCTTCTACAATTGGTGGCCAGTAGATATTCTGGTGAGTAATCAGGATGACAGCTTGTGTCAATTTCTGCATTGGCTGACAGCTCTCTGCTCGAGGAGGTAGCGGTTATTCACCTGCATGCTGATTCTCCTTCATTTTCCTCAAGCTTTTTGAAGTGTGAACATGTGACGCTTATGCTAATTGGTCCTTCAAACGAAATTACATCAGAGCCACTCTTCCTACCCCTTTCTTAGCGACGCTAATGTGCCGCGTGAAATGCAGCCCAGTAAATTAAGAACGCCGCTAAGTCTGTTTATCTAAAAAACAAACAAAAAAATAAGCTGACAAAAAAATCTTTAGATGTCTTTTTAAGCACGCTAGGCGGCATCTACACCGATCAGCCTGGTGGCACACCTGTGTTTTGCTGAATACAGCCGCCCCGAGGGATATTGGTGTCTGTTTTCCTTTGAAGCTTGAATCTGTGTGACGTTCAGGAAGAATCACCCAGAGATCTCAGAGTTTCAGTTTGAGGAGCTGTGTGTGTTTTTTTTTTTCATGTCTGTTATGGGATTCCAACTAAAGCGGAAGTTTCCGTGGCAGCTGAAGACGCCTTTCAGCAAAGCCTTCCCTGTTTTTTATTAAATTCTCCAGGGAAACTTAACATTGGTGTTTGTGTTCACGCCTGGCACCTTATTCATTGTGTCTGTATGCATCTCATAGTCCACCTGTGCTAACAATAGTACCGTAGATACTCTCTACTTTCGTTATCTTCACATTGATTGTGACTCTGCTTGTGTTCAGTTTATATTGACGGTGCTTCTCAGCTTGTATTGACTTCAGATTGAAGACCACAACCTCTTTTCTAGAACCAAGCTTCTCCCTTCTCTCGTTAACAATGGCCTCTTTGTTATAGCACCTGCTGGCGGTCCAGCAGCTGGCATCAGCCGTGTCCAGCATGATGCCCACGGGCACAACAGGCCTCAACCAGCCCATCCTCATCCCCTTCAACATGCCAGGTCAACTGGGTGGCCAGCAGGGTCTGGTACTCACCATGCCCAATGCCAACCTTAGCAACATCCAGGGTCTGATGGCAGCAGCAGCCAGTGGCATCATTACCCTGCCTCTGCAGAACCTTCAAGGTAAGACAGCATGGCTCCACCTGGTGGTTGGATGACTTACTCTCAAAATGTTACTCGACTGAGACTGGCTTTTGAAGAACCTTAGGAAGCAAAGTATTGATGTCGAATTGTGTGGTGTGGACACAATGACTCCTACTACAGTGTCCAGCATTGGACAAGCAGACATGGACAGAAGAGTAGTGTAAAGGCAATAAAGAGGCTGATTGTAGTTTCAGTGAGGTGGTATGTTGATACTAAAGGGTGTTTATTGAAAGTAATTTTCTCTGTGCTGTGACGCCCAGGGTCCTATTGCTCAGGGTTAATGTGTTAAGGAACCTCGCTGCGTTCAGGCCTCTCTGATGAAGCAGCCTCATTTTACTGGTCACTGTCTAGTTAGTGGCCCCTTTTAATTTTTAATGCTTAAATGTTCCCTTTTGATCACAGCTGTAAATGGTTTTCAGTTTAATCTTTAAAATATTGTCTCTTTTATGCCATTAGCCTGAGTGAGGATGAGGGGTGTCAGCCATGAATCTTAGATGAAGGTGGGGGCAGGGGGGGGGGGGACAGATAAACTACAATTGAGAGTAAACTGCCAATAGCAGGGGCTTCAATGGGTGGGGGAGATGTTCATTTTTTTGGATCGAGGAGATCTTCATGAGTGTGAAGATCTTCATGGATTTGGGAGATCTTCATTGGTTGGGAGAGATAATTGTGTGTTTGGGAGATCTTCATGAATGTGGAGATGTTCATGGGTTGGGGAGATCTTCAATGGTTGTGGAGATCTTCACTGGTTGGGGGAGATAATTGTGTGTTTGGGAGATCTTTGTGGATCGAGGAGATCTTCACGAGTGTGGAGATCTTCATGGGTTGGGGAGAACTTCATGGAATGGGGAGATCTATATGGGTGTTTGGTGCTGAGGGACCCTTAGGAGGGAAGGAGAAGATCCCTTTGAGACATACGCAGTTCCTGCCCTGCATGCTCCTTCAGTACACCTGTGAGGACACCCCCTCCCCCCCGCAAGGGCTGTGATTTTCATGTCATGTGTATGTATCCATGTAGTGTATTTTCTTATTAAAAAAACCCTAGGTGAGTACTGGACATTGATTTTGTTTATTTCTCCTGTAACATTTTGTGTTGTGTCTGAGGTTTATTCTGGGATCAGCGTAGACCAGCTAAAAGCTGTGTGAGTTCTAGATACCCTGGCTGACATGTACCAGTGGATACGATGATAGTATTGGGATATAGTCACGTCTTAGTATGACTTCACCAGACATATATCATGTTGGGTTTTTGCACTCTCTGAAGGATCTGTCAGTGAAAATACCTTCACCAAATGCGGTTGGCTGTGTTCTGCTGCAGCCCTGTACTGTACATGTGACAGGGGCAAGAAAGATAAAGGAGAGAGGTTTCTGTGAGTGGGAGCAGAAAGGAGAAGATAAAGGTCCAAGGTGGACAGATTAGTGAGACAGAGTAAGGAGTGGATGCAGGTCTCTAGAGGACAAAATGATGCTTGTCTTGACTCTCCTTGGGTCCCCCGGGCTGTCATGCCTTCCATTGTCACCCTGTCCATGTGATCAGGCCCTATCTGTCTCAAGTTTGTCCTAACAGCACCATTGGTCTGTTCCTTGGCAAGGTTAAAGGTCAACCCTCGCACTGGGACTCGTCATGTGACCTGAGTGCAGACCAATGGCTGATTACTGTTAGGCTATACAGAAGCGCCTTTTCTCTGGAAGCAAGACAACGGTGCAGGCAGATTCTTTATTATTAAAGTTACTGAGTCACCCAAGGAAAAAGCAGGTGCTTAGTTATTGAACAGTGTGGCCATGGAACCGAATCTGCCTTCGTACATCGGTCAGCGGCGAGTGTGTCTGTGAGTGTGCATGTGTCTGTGTGTGTGTGTGTGTGTGAACACCCCATCTCATCTGCTTTCTATGAAATCAGGAGTTGGAATTGTAGTAAACTTTTTATTGGCTCAATTCCCATTCCTTTTATCATGCCATTTTCCATTTACAATATACCTCCTCGGTGGAATAAGCCAAGAAGCCATGAAATGAGACACAGATGTGCTGACGTTCAGTGGCTGCGATAAACGGCGGTCAAGGTGATGCGGGCTCCCCATTACGGGATCCCCTGGCAGGGGGAAGATGATAAAAAAGTTACCTGTCAGGAAGAGCACAGTGATGCATCTTCCACTGACTATAAAGCAAGGAGCAAGTAGCACAGCACGTTATTTTAACAGTGTCATTTTTATAAACGATCGCGTCTCTGGTAGCTACCGAAAGCGCGCTCTCGAAAAGCATGTTAACGGAGTTACCGCTGTGCATTTTCACTCCTGTGACAAAATTACATCGCGTCCTTTGAGGAGTCGCAGTAGCTTCCGGAACTTTCCGTCCGCAGTGTAGCAGAGGGAATAGTGTCTGCAATCCCATCAGTCACTCTTCCTCCTCATTCGGAGGCTTCCTCTCAGCGCATTGTCCATCATTCCTGTACTCTCTCATTTTTTGTCTGCACTTTACAAAAGGAATTCAAGAGTTGGAAGGTGGACGATGTTCAGTGGAAATGTTTCTGTATGTGGCACTGGGCTGGCCAGTAAAGCCTGCTCAGTTCCAGCACATCAGCATTTAGATCTAACCATCTGCTGGTTTTTAGAACCCCCCTGCATGCTTTATCTCCATCATAGTGTGAGGGCTGAGGGGGTGAGTTCTCTGGCTCCGCCCACGTCATGTAATAATCATGAGCACGTGTCACAGAGGAGGCAGTGCTCTGCATAACCCCGGAATTCCGCTGAGCAGTTAAGCCTCATTGCAGCTGCGATGCAGTCGCAGTGGCTGATCCCCCCCCCCACTCTTGTCAGTGATTTTGATTCTACCCGCTTTGCTAAAGATATGCAGCGAGTCTAGTTTGCCGGATGCCACTTCTGACAGCAGTTCCACCTGCCAATCAGGTAGCGCTTATCTCATGAATATTTATGAGTTTTCCCAGCCACCCTGCAAACAGATCTGCTTCTGGAATGCTTCTGAACCGCTTTTGGTCGGGGTCGAGGACATGCAGAGGACGGAGCCAAACCGCGTCGCAGCCGGAACGCAGCGCAAACCACTCTTGGTGAAATTCCGACGTAATCCTCCTCAGCAGTGGTGTTTACCACCACTCATATCGCCTATTTGCATGGACCCCTAAATTTTGGGCCCCCTGTTGGCCACAAGCAGTCACTACACTAAATGTTAAATAAACACATTCCTTATTTAGGAGATGTGGAAGCAGCATGTTCTGCTGACCAGCTACCCAGGGGCACGGCGGGCCCCAAAGTAACTCTAACCTTAACCCCAGATGCTCGTCAGTTGGTTTTGGGATAATTTTACCTTATATTTCGGTTTTGGAACGATCCAGCAAGGTTGTCATGACTAGTATCGCAGAACAATGTTTTATCTATTATTTGTAATCCTTCCTCATATCCTCATAGTCATGACCTTTGACTTGGAAGCACTATCAAGGACTTTGAAACAAATCTCAACAGACGCAAGTAAGCCAATATTCTCATTCTGCACTGGAGTTGATTAATGACTTGGGGAGGGTGGTGCACATTCACTGGGGGGGAAGTTGGATAAAATAAAAGCTTGACGCGGAATCTGCGTCTCTGTGTGTCTGATGGCCGACGCGGGAATCGTCTCCAGCAGAAGCAGCTACACAAAGACTCAGGGCAGAGGATTGATTGATTTGTTGTGACAGCAGCCGGATAATGGAGAGTGAGGTGCCAGCGGAGAGGAAGGGGGGATAAAGGTTTGCCGAGACGCACCGAAGCGGCGGCAGCTGGTTCCGCGTTCTCCTGTCCCCTGATGCCGGGATGGGCTCCATCGCCTGTCGCGTGTTCGTGTTAGTACCCCAGCCAGAAGCGAAGGAGAGAGACCGGCCCAGAAACTGCGGCTCCAGCGCTGAGTATAAACACAACATGTTACACCAACACTGTATGGCTGAAGACGGCAACGCTACTCGCGCTCCTATTAAAGCACATCAGCTCCACGTTTCTGCAGAAAGGGGAAATCGTGCAATAAATGTTATGCGCTTATCTTAATCACCCTGTCGCTGTAATTTATATGTCTAGCCATGTGTACTATGCAGGGAGGAAAGCGTGACTGATATTTACTCAGTTATCCTGCTTATTAAATACGCGGAACGGCCAGACATTTCTGCAGAGACTCAACAAAGAAGGTCTGTTTGTGACGTTGAGGCTGGTGTCTGAGACTCGCAGGGGTTCAGTGTGGCCAGCCACCACCTAACCCTAACCCTAACCCCTAACCCTAACCCTAACCCTAACCAACCACTGAAACACCTCCTGCTTTGTTCCCATACTGAAGCTCTCCATACCTGGCAACTAGAGTTGTCTTTAAAGTAGTCCGTACACAAAGTTTACATTGCTGCAAAATAAGGCATGAATCACAAGTTAGTGAGTGTGGCTTTAAGCAGAAAAACACACACCCCCCCTCCCTGCCCCCCCACCAGTTCTCCTATGGCAAAGCCACCACAGATGCCTGCCGACGCTTCTGAGGGTCTTTAGCCAGAGGAACGGTGAGAGGTCGATGAAGAAGCAGGATCTTTCACACCGCAGGTGAAGGCCTGGTCCTCGGCACAGATGCACTCAGTTTCTGGTTCTGGAGGCGAGAGCGTCTCCCTGCGTCTCCCTGCGCAGCATTGAGGAGGTGCGACCGTCCGGCTTCCGGGTCCCTCGCAGGGGCGGTGCTGACGAATCCTCCTCCGGTAACGCGGATCCCGTCTCATGGCCGTACAAACGTTTTCTGCCAGAGCCCGAGATCCCGCCTTCGGCTCGGTTATGAAATGCCGTCCGTCATAAGGGGCCTTTCATTCAGCCCGGCGCCGGCGTGAGAATGTGCGACTTTGCAAAGCGGTTTGCAAAGTCGAACGGCAAATGGGGTCAGCGGGAAAGGTCAGCCGCGGGTGTTGGCTTTCGCCGTGTAACAAAAGCCAGCGGTCAGTCTCTTCGGAGGCGGGTTAGTAAGCCGACGCA